AGGAATAGTCTGTCGTCTGGCAGGAAAAAATTTTTAAATAGAAAGAGAACTGGAGAAGGGAAGAGGTAAAGCCCTAGATGTGCCAGATCTGCATGGTCTCACACGGCTCTTCCGTGTGTTTGGCTGTGGTCCAATGGATGCTGTGGGTGCTGGTGAAGAAAATCAATATATTCTAATGGGCAAGGCCCTACCAAAAGTGTGCGCTACCAGGCAAGACCAGGGTTCACCCAAGCCCTCCAGCTGTCCTCAGCAACTGCTCGTGCCTGATGCTGAGAGAAGTTCCTCTCCACACCCAGCCCACACGTGCTAGGCCATGGCTGGGCTGAGGGATTCTGCTCCAGAGAGTTGAGCAGTCTGTCCATGGATCAGGAGAGAGATTTCTGCTTCCCAAATCATCACAACACAGCTGCCCAGATGCCTCTCACTGTAGATCTGAGTAAGTCTGTCCCATACCAACCCATGGCTGCTCACAGCCATTATTTTAAACTACATTATCTGCATCCCAAATGCTGACACAACGTGCTTCTTTTAAAGAAACAAATCTGGCACTGTTGAAAGTTTGCTGCATAATTCTTCCCTTTGCCCTAAATCTCTTTTGTTTGAGCCTTGGCAGATTTACAGCATCAGGAACCTACTAGCAAGTCTATAGGAAACAAAAGCCCCCATCCATTGGCCTCAAGGGAGCTGCTCTGCTGGATGGTACTGGGTCGGTTTTGCTTGTAATTCTGTGAGATGTTGAGCAGAAAGAAACCCAGACCTTCCTCTGTTACCCGTTCTCAGTCCCCAGGGTGTTAAGTGTCCAGCTGCTGGCCAAGAGTCACCCTCCTTGTGCACACCACAGTGAAGTGTAGCTCTTCTAGGTGGGTGGTTGTTACTTCATGGGCTGTCTTGTCCTACCCTCTGTCTGAGCGTGCCCTGGCTGTGATTCTGGGCATTTGACACTTTTTATGATTTATTGTTCTTTATTATTTGTATCTTCTTAGCACCAAAGAGCCTGCTGGGCCAGGACTCCTGCAGTAGGCGTTTTACAAACACAGAACAAAAAGATGGTCCTTGCAGCAAGTAGCTTGCAATCCAAATATATGACCAGAAATTACATACGGAGACAGACCAGCTGGGAATTACAAATGAACAATGCAGCTTGCTTTTAAAAGGCTTCTTCTGGGTCCCTGTTTCCTCTGTGTGCCACTCCTCTCCCCCCTCGTCGCCTCCCCTGTGGAAATGACTACTCAGAATTTACTGTGTAATAATTTAGAAGGGCAGCGTGCGCCTGTAGAAGCCTTTTGACACCCAGATGTAGTGCTGCTTTTCTGTTAGTGCAATTGGTAATGCATCAGCTTGTGCATCTCCCTGGTGCTGTATGGTCCTCTGATTCTCACTGGGCCAAGGGTTCTGATTGTGTGTACGTGCATGGCGGCGGTAGAAGGTTGATGTGAAGGTGGAAGAGCAAGAAATATTCCCTGGGATTCCACAGGACCCAGCTTGTGGAGAAGTGGTGCCTTCTGGAGCCATTCATTTTACTCCTGAATCACTCTCAAGAGCATCTTTGGGGTGCCAGGAGGCATTGCCAGTCCAAGCAGTAATCTCTGGCCCTAGTCTCTGCTCCCAGAGTGCTAGGATGTGGCATTTAATCTGTATTCTGCGAGTTAACCATTGCTTGCTTGATTTCTCCCAGGTTGGGGCAGACGGTTTGATGAAGCTGAGTGGCTCAGCTCTGAACAACGAGTTCTTCACTTCAGCTGCACAAGGCTGGAAGGAGAGGTTATCAGAAGGTGAGTCTGTGGCCGCTGTGAGGCAAAGGGCTGTGAACTTTCTGAGGAATTGCTTTATCTGGGGCATCTCCAGTGCTGGAGAATGGCAGCCATTTGTTACATTCTGCTGATCTTTGGGCGGGGGGGGGCGAGGAATAATCCTTTTGATCCCCTCATGAGATCACTTCATCTGCCTCCAGGTTCTGCATTGTGTTCTTCTGCCATTGGCTTGCCTTTCCAGTGCCCTGAACATGCACTACCTACTGGACCCCTTAAAATGTGCCCTGCAAATCAAACCTTTCCTTGCGTGAGATCCCTGACTATGGTTTGCTGAGTTCCAGTCACCCCCAATATCTGTTTGGTGGTTATGCAGCTTATCCGTGACATTTTCAGAATTCTTCTATACCACCAGAATAAGGATGTTAAGTATCGTTTCGTTCACTAATCAAATAGTCGATACATTTTTGTATCGACTATTTGATTTGTCGATAGGGCGGCACTGCCCCTTTGAAACACCGCCAAGGGACCTGGACTCCGTGCGGCGCTGCCCCTTTGAAGCTCCCCCTTCTTCTGATAGAGGCGGCAGAGGTGGTGGTGGGGAGCAAATAGTCGACTATCCTGTTGGCTATCCAATAAGAATTTGCTTGTCAGATAGCCGACTAGTCCTTCACATCCCTACCCCAGAATTCAAAGTACTGTAATTCTGTTGCATGTTTGTGTTTCACAACAGTAATGTAACCCAGGCCAAATGTAAGTTTTTAAGAGCCAGACGTTAATCTTCAGATTTATGTTTCTTCTCGGGTGAGGTGGTTATTTTTCCAGAATGTATCCCTCCATCCTTGCTGTTTTGGTGCCAATTTCACTTTCTGATCTTCCATCTTCTGTACTGATGCTCCCTAAAGCAGTAATCTCACCTGCTGTACCGTTGTCGTTCATTGGAATCTTGCATGTTTTCCCAGGATTCTTGTGTGTGGCCATGTCTATCTACGTTCAGTTATATACGTTCCATTTGCCATAGACATACATAATCTCCACCAACTTCATCAGACGTTCTTCTGGATCAGCCAAAACCTTGTCATCTACAAAGTGAACCTTCTTCGCCCATTTCCCATTCATCTGAATATTGTTTTGTTTCTTTGATTAATGTAGCCAAAGACTCGCTCTCAATGTTGAAGGGTGTTGAGGGAATGCACAATGGAGATTCCAGGGTGAAATTCATACCCTAGAGCGAGTTAGTAGAAGAAACAGCTGCACTCAGAATGGTGCTTGAGGTCACTGCTGCGAGTGTTTCTCCAGACTGAAGGTTTTATTGGACACGTGTCTCTGGAGTAAGGAGTGTGGCGAGGCAGGGATCCATGCCAAGTCCAGGGCTGGGATGGTAATGGAGATGCGTTGTTCTAATTAGAAACTAAACCAGGGTGGCCACACTTGCCTTACTTCTTGAACCTGAGGCCACTCTCATTTGTACACAGGTGCAGACCCGCAGAGGCTGTAGGTAGCCGAGTGAAACACCCATCTTCACCCAAACCACACTGGCGTTGGAACTAGCAGTTTGTGAGCCAAGCTTTTATCCAGAGGGAAAGGGCAGCCGTGCGCCACATGGCAGAACCCTGTGAGCTTCCCTGGTCCCCAGGGCTGCGTGCTGGCCACTGCGTGCAGAGATGTTGTTTATCAAAGCCAGTGACCGCTCTGTCTCGATGACTTGATTTCGAAGATGTACCCAAATGATGACTGTCAGCACACCATTGTCTGGATGACAGTGTGGCAGGAACATGCTCTGTGTAGCACCATCCTGTATCGCCATCCGGTTGTGTAGAGAACAGCCAGTTTGAGGAGTTAGCTGCTAGGTCAGATGCCAGGATCCGGAGAGCAGCGTTCCAGTCTGATGCAGCTAATGCTTCTCTGACCCACCATCCCAGCCACCCCCACGGCTGCCGACATGCACTTGAACAGAGAACCCCTAGATATCTGGCAGTAACTGGCTACTTGCAGTTGCTGCAGTTGGTCTGGACCCCATGACTCGCCCTGCTTCATGGAGTACTCAGCAGTCCCAGACTGGGAGATGCAAGGGGCCCGAGGAACGCCCTGAAAGCCCTTGTTCCGGAGCATGCTGAGGTACCGTGTGCACCATGGCTTGGAGCACGAGGCCCATGTGCACTGACAGTGGGATCCACACAGCCTGCAGCATATCCCTGTGGATCACAGGCTGTTTTGGTTTTGGTTTCCCCCCACCGGGAGAGCACATTGCTCTGTAACTCTGAGATCGGCACTGGCTGCCAGTTGGTTTCTAGATGAGGTGTTGGTTTTGATTTGTGCCGCTTTAAATGAATTGGGTCCTGGCTGTTTGAGAGAACTGGCAGCTAGTATCCTCCAATATCAGCTCTGTGGCTTAAATAGAATTGGGCTGGCACTTACATTGGCTTAGAAATTGCCTTTCCTTCCCGTGAACTCCCTGACTTGAGAGTCATACCACACTGGAAACCTCGGCTGGTTTCTCAGCCTTTTTTTTCCCTTGCAGGAGGAAGATTTGATTTTCAGAGGGAGGATAAAGGGGCCGAGTATGTTTTGGTGTGGGAAGGGTTTTAGGTTTAGCTGGTATGTTCTGATAGCTTGTTTAAGTTTTCTAATAGGCATAGTTGGAAAATAAAATGTTATTGATCACCTCTAGGCATGGATTGCAGCCACCTCTGCACTACAGAAGGGGTTTAATAGCACCCAGCAGCTCTGCCAATAGCTTACGACCAAAAGTAAAAAGGAACCTTATTTATAGCTGATATTGAAAGAGGAATTTCAAGAGGCAGAATGCAAGCTGGGTTGAGGCTTAATGCCTCTTAACTGCAAATACTGCCCCAGGATTCTTAAGTGACCACAAGACCTTGGTTTAATGTCCCTTCTTGAAAGACAGTGCTAGTAAAATAACAACAAATGGTCTGGTAGCACTAACAAAACATGTAGATGGGATCATGAGCTTTCATGGGCACAGCCCACTTCTTCAGATGACTGGAGTAAAATAATAGTTACAGGTCAGACCCGTTGTGCTCTCTGTAATACGTCGTCTTGCGGAACCAGTTCCCAATGCACCGGTTTGTCTGCAGATGGCAGGGATCCGTCTGCCTGCCTCATGATTGCACTTGCCCTAGTTCTCCTTGTTGACTGCTGCTCTTGCTGATACCCTTGTTCTGTATTGCAGGTGAATTCACCCCAGAAATGCAGCTGAGACTACGGCAGGAGATAGAAAAGGAGAAAAAGGTGGAGCTATGGAAGGAACGATTCTTTGAGAGTTACTATGGCCAAAGGTAAGAAACTGGACTGTCTCGTACTCCCTTGGCATGTCCTGAGGCATCTGTTCCCAGGGTTTGCAGCTCATTTTTTTTCATGGGACCTTCTTTTTCACTGGGCTTCTAAGCTGATCGAGGGCCATCTCCATCTAGTTAATTCCCAATCTGTGCTGGGTTGTCTTCCCAAAGCATTGTTTCCAATGCTTTCTCCATCAGCATTCCTTGCCTGCTGGCTGTAGTACAGGCTCACCCCCATCCTCACAGTTTGGAAATCCCACTGTTTAATTAAAACAGCAAGGAGTTGAGTTGTCGCTTGCGAAAGCTTAGGCCCTGATACCCTAATACATTTGTTAGTCTGAAAGTGCCACCGGACTCCTTGTTGGTTTTGCTGAAACAGACTAACACGGGTCTCCCCCCCTGCAGCCCTTCGGTGTTTAAGGTTTTCTTGGCGTATTCAAGCCAGCTAAGTTATTCAATATTTACTTGGCCTTTGATTGTAGTTTTTGATCTTCGCACGTTCAGCAGCTCGTGAGTTCCTCATGTGTCTGATCCACAGGCTGTTGAGCTGAGCGCTCAGCATACGTATAGTGTGGCTTTCTGAGATGGTTCTGGCTGCCTTATTCCTAGCTACAAGCAGCCCTGCCTCTCCACTGTGGGATGAGAATGAGAAATCACAGAGCACAAGAACGGGAAGGGACCCCGAGAGGTCAACAAGCCCAGTCCCTGCTCTCACGGCAGGACCCAGCACTATAGGCAAGAGGCTGCCAGAGGGCCAGGTCCGGCCTGCCAAGCAACTGGATCTGGCCCGCAGCCGCCTCGCTGGAACCCTTAGGCAGAAAGCAGCTCACGCTTTCAAAAGCCAGCTGCTCTCCACTCTGGACTGCTGGGGTAGGGGACTTCTCATGCTGTTCCCGCCCCCCAGCAAAATACCACAGCTCCCATTGGCAGTCTTTCAATCTGCAGCCAATAGGAACTGAGAATTTTTGCTGGGAGCAGAGGTACTGTGGGAAGCCTTTTCCCTCCTCTCATGCCTGTAGTGGAGTCACATGGAGTCAGCCTCCAGCAGACATTCTGCCTCAGGTTTCTACAGGCAAGCACCACCCAGCCAGATCCTGCCTCTGGCACCCAGCCCCCTCTCTCCCAAACACTCTGTACCCCTTTCCTCCCTTCTCCCAAGTCACGATGCCCTCCCACAGACCAGAATCTTCTCCTGCACCCACACCCCCTCCCTGACCCTGCACCCCACTTCCCTCCCTCAGGTCACCACCCAAACCCTCTGCACCCCCTTCACCCGGGTCACAACTCCCTCCCAGATGTTACAGCCTCTCCCCCAGGCCAAGATCCTCTCCTGCACCCCAAGTCCCTACCCCAGATCACAGCCCCCTTCCTCACCCAAACTCCCTCTCAGCTGTCACCCCCTCCTGCACTCCAGTCCCCTATCTCAAGTTGCCTTCTGCACCTAACCTCTACCCCAGACTGCACCCTTCCCCTTCCACAGAAGTGCAGTACTTAACCACTTTCCAAAATCTTGGCTTGGCCTCCCACTACAAATCATTGCCCACTCCTGATCTAGATCTTCCCTGACACGTGTCTGTCCATCCTGCTCTTTAATATCTCTAGTGATGGAACAAAAGACGGGACTGTGCAGCACTTTAAAGACTAACAAGATGGTTTATTAGGTGATGAGCTTTCGTGGGCCAAACCCACTTCCTCAGATCAAATAGTGGAAGAAAATTGGCACAACCATATATACCAAAGGATACAATAAAAAAAAAAGTGAACACACATAAAATTGTCAAAGCTCATCATCTAATAAACCATCTTGTTAGTCTTTAAAGTGCTGCACAGTCCCGTCTTTTGTTCCATCACTAGAGATATTAAAGAGCAGGATGGACAACCCCCCTAGGCAATTTATTCCAGTGTTTGACCACCCTGACAGGCAGGAAGTTTTTCCTAATGTCCAACCTCAACCTCCTTTGCGGCAGTTTAAGCCCACTGTGTGACGGCCTGTGTGGGTGCGAACGCCCCCTCCCGGCGGGGCAAGGGGGTTCAGCGGACCCGCCGTCTAGCTGTTTGAGTGCGATCACCCGGCCGCGAGTCCGGACCGGGGATCAGCGAACTCGTGGTTCCGCTTCCTCTGGGGCAATCCCGGGGTACCAGTCTGCCCGGGTGTCTAGGCGAGGAGGCGGTGCCGCCCCCGGCGGCCTGTCTGTCGGTCAGGTCCCCGTCGGGGCAGTCGAAATGAAAGGGTCTTCGCCCCTTTTCTAGTCATCCCCTGCGGGGTTGCGTGGGTTGGGGTATCGTGGTAGGGAGGGGGGACGTGGAGGACCCGGGCCCGCCCTCTCCACCGGGTCCCAGCCCGGGGCCCTAAGTGGGGGGAGAATGAAGTAGACGTTCCTCCCACGACAGGTGGGGTTTATCCCCATAACGCACCTGTCCACAGGCACCAAAAGGCCCCCGCCCCGGGCTGCTTCCACTCCCCGCTACCCTTCTCCCTGGCGGGGGAGGTCCCGCCGGCAC